ACTGACGGATGGTATAATAGCGGACCCTGCGGCAAGAATGAGTGATACCCGTGAAAAGCGCATGGTGGGGGGTGTAAGAGTAAATCGATACCGGATGTGACACTTCTTATATCCAGAAATGCCGCAGAGCGCGCAGTCAGAGGGGGACTGAATGGGGCTTTCACAGATAAGGTGACAGTTTTAGTAATAATAGTCAGGGTGCGGTGAAAGACAAGAGGTCCGAGGATAAGGGAACAATACGGAAACATACAATAATAGTCTGCGACACAGCCACATGAGGCTATAGCAACTCGAACCTTATCATATAGAACTCATTTGATCTCATCACAATTGAAAATGTTCAAATTCAACTTCGACGTGGAGGACGATACTGAACAAAGTACAGATGTAAATCACACAACACAAAATCATGGGCCCGCTTCTGTGCAGGCGGTCGCCCCAGACGTATTCACAGAGCTTTTTCTCACAGACGCGGTACGTCTAATTGCTTATCTTGGTTCTGTAAAAACTGATATGGGCGCAAGTATTAGTTAAACAGCCTACCGTCCAAAATATCCTACTCTCCAATCACGATCCCACTTGCCAGCGGAACCGAACTTTCACTCCCACGCCGTGATCTGTTCGATGCGAGGTTTCAATTGATCTCACAAAATGTCGATGACCCGGATGCATTGGAGCAGCCGTCTATCAATGCACGGTCTGCGCTGCACTTTCTGGATGCACCCTCTGACCTTGTACCTCTTGTCTACGAGGGCGGCTTGAAGACTTGGGAATGCAGTATTGATCTTGCCAGCTATCTGGATGGTATAAGCTCACAGTTTGATGTAAGCGGCAAGCGTGTGCTAGAGGTGAGCATCCATTTCTCTGTACCCTGATGATATGATGCAGCTCATTAATCTTTTCACAGATCGGATGTGGCACTTCAATACCGTCACTGTACATTCTTCATCGAATATTCTCCTCCCCACCTTCTCAGAATCAGACACATATCCACCTCCAGGACTATAACGCCTCCGTGTTGGAATTGGTGACTATTCCCAATATTATTCTGACCTGGTGTTCGTAAATTTGGATATTTTCTTTCTTCGCATCTCACTCGAGATGCAGATCTGTCGGAGGCAGCAGAGACATACCGCAAATCAGAGGAGCAGGCAGACTCTCCTTTGGAGTTGGATATATCGGAAAGTCTCAAAAATGCATTCCATCAATCCTTGATGACCTACGGTGTCGAATTACGTTTTTTCTCCGGCTCATGGGATACATTCGACCTCCAAAAATCATGTGGGAGCTACAACCTGGTGCTGACATCCGAGACCATATACCGCATGGAATCTCTTCCGAGCCTTACTGCTATTATGCGCGGTGCTTGCAAGGCTGAAGAACCCACAGGTGTAAACGATTACCTCTGTCTTGTAGCCGCAAAAGTACTCTACTTTGGTGTGGGTGGCGGAGTAACAGAGTTTGTGCGATGTGTACAAGGTTCGGATAAAGGAGGCATGGTTAAGACTGTATGGGAGAAAACACAAGGTGTCGAAAGGAGGGTAATGAGTATCAGATGGAATTGACAATGTTATTCGATCCTTAACCGCGAAATGAAACGTGTCGAAGAGGATAATATGACTGGGACGACCAAGGACAACAAAACTCAATATTGTTGTGATAAGCAAAAAATGTGGACAAATCCGGACTCGAACCGGAGACCCCCCGCAGTCAGCGCCATGCTAAGCGGATGTGATAACCAGCTACACCATATGCCCGACGAGCTTTGTTAGATCTTGGGTAACTATTACCTATTACAGTAACCTAGATCTAATTATTCCCTTCTAAATTCTGACTTGTCACTGACAATTCAAAAAGAACGATCGACTTCATTCTATCAGAACCTGACTAGTGCTAGAGACCTATTGTACGTTCTTTATTGTTGCGTGCAAAGGCTTATATCACCCCCTTGCAGGATGGTGTTCGCTGTTCAAAACTGAGCTGGCTGGGTGTTCAGCTTCGAGCAAGTGCGCACATGGTTAGAGAAGCAAGGACAGCAACACCAGCACTTGCCGGACGAGTTTCTTGTCACCGATCTCAATTATTGGTTCAAAGAGAGAAATATCGATTATCTGTGGGCCGTCGGTACCGGCTATCCTCGGGGGAGCTTGCAGCCGATCATGGTATTGGTTCGAAGGCGCAGAGAAAATCTCAAGTCGAAGGTGTTTCGTTCTATCGTGTTAGAGAGTTGGATGCGGATCGTGAAGTGAAGAAACAGGTGCTGGAAGAGAGTGAGCTCGATGATGAAGAGTTGCCTTGGGTCCAATTCTTTCTTCACCTCAATACACACCAATGGAACAGCGCTCATCATCTACAAGGACAATGATGACGTCTGGTTCAACATAGGTCCCAGTAATCACTTGGGGGCCCATAGAGTCTATGGAAAATCCTTCATCTTCGAACGACTGATCCAAGTCACCGAGCTCATTAGTCAGAGGGTTGGGCCTCAGCTGTGGTTGTGGCTTGACCATGAACCGATCGTCCGCAAAGATATGATTGGCGAGCTTGTCAATGGGGCCGTACCAAGAGGTTTCATAATGAGGATGAAGGTGCAGCCGCTGTAAGTGCTCTTTCCATGCAGGAATTTGTGGCATGGCTACTGAGGGAATTTGACGTTCATTTTCAGCATTTAAATCAACAGGTAACCAACTTACATTAGCAGTCCCCCAACAACGCCCTTTGGTTGAAGAGCATTGCCTAGAATCAGAAAACATGCGAAAATTCAACACCCACTAATACCTACAGGTGGAGAACTGGATCTGAGTCCTCGATGTGTTCGAAGACTGGACAATTGGCCATCCTTCCCCTTGACCCCCAAAGTTAAGATTGGTTGTCCACAAGTACTCACAATTACGTTGTTTGCACGTGACCTTCTTGGTTGTGGAGCTCGAACTTCGCAAGTATGCCACCAACAGCTTAACTTAAAAGCCCCAATTTATCTTGAATTTCCTCTCGTCTGACCAACTGTAGTACGTTCATGCCGTCCCTTTTTATATGAGCATCAAAGGTTAACGTCTCTCCCACTAGTCACTATGGTGTTCAAAGTAGCTGGTTGGATAATCAGCTTCGAGCAAGCACGCACTTGGTTCGACAGGCAGGAATACAAACACGACCATTTCGGCGATGATTTCGTCGGTATCGCGCTCAATCGGTGGTTCGAAGAGAGGAACATCGATTATCTATGGGCTGTTGTCACCGACTACCCTCGAGGGAGCCGGCACGCAGTCATCGTCTTAGTTCGAAGGCGCAGGGAAGATCCCAAGTCGACGGTGTCCCACTACTATCGTGTCAGAGAGTTGGATGCAGACCGTGAAGTGAAGAAGCAGGTGATGGAGGAGACTGGACTGAGTGATGAAGATCTACCTTGGGTCACTGTTGTGGATCCGTTCTTCATGAATTAATGTCGATGTACCGAGTCTCGACGTGAATGAAATTGTAGCAAAAGGATTGTTTGTATGTTTTCATATATGCGAAGTTAAGGAGATCTCTGAATAATGTTGACCACTTCGGGGCAAAGTACAGTGGGACACAGCAGGCCCATCGGCATATCTCAGCGGAGTACGGTATCCGTCACTGTGTGCAACAGTGCCAAAGACTTACTTTGCCATGGACATCGAGAGCCTTGTTCTGCCATGTGGCAACACAGTGAGCCTGCTGCTATGATATACATTGATCTCAGCCGGTCCTTGCGATGCGTTAGCCTCCTGACAGGCACGAAAGAAAATGGGCAGAGTTGATGCGGAGCATGAACATGGGGCATTCCAATAATATTCGCGGAATGTTGTTGGGGCGGGATTGATTGGCATGATCAAGCGAGGTTCAAACTCCGCTGGGAGCTGCCGTCGACTTTTAATTCTCCCAATCCACGTCTTGTTATTAACAGTGTCTCTATCATCTGAAGGAACTTGGAAGTTATTCTAGGTCGCTGTTAAGGGTGTTGAACACGTCCGAGATGTTTGGATGGTACTCGGGAGACCCTTCTCAACTACATTCATGAATTGCTGGATGACGAGGAGCAGAGTCGAATTATTTGGCTGCATGTTGCGGACCTACGGTGGGCGTCGGAAAGTTTACTGACATGTTCACTGTAGCCGAAAGGATGAGAGGTCTGCGCGAGTGTCCGGCTTTGGCGTTTGTTTCGATGCCCTTGATGAATGCAATACCGAATTTATTGCCGTCCTCGTTTCCCTGCTCGACTACATAAGCTCTCCGTGAACCGTGATCCACACCTCGTTCGGAAGAGCACATTCGTAAAGCCATGCAGACAGAAGAAATGCGCCCACTCGGATGCAAGATACCACTTAACACTTCTGGGGAGGGCGTTACTACTAGTACGTGTCGTTAGACGGCACAGATATTGACTAACAATGACATTTACACTTTCCTATTCCAGAGTCATCTACCAGACATAGAGATCACCCATTTTATGGCCGCATTTGCGATTTTCACAGAGGAAACACAAGAACGAAGTTATTCAGCTCCTGACGCTTTTGAGTATGCATGTCGAAGCTGGCCCCTTCCATCTCTCATGGGCTCCAATGCTCAACCGATATTTAAGGTTTTTCGGAATTGTCATCCCCTCTCCTGGCTCGAAGCGCAATGGTGTTCAAAGGATCTGCAGTCTTGTCTAGCAGTTTTATCTGAAGGTCACTTACAAAGGTGGTTTTTTTCCGACATTCCGATACTTCTTGAGACTCATCATCTCACCTGCGCATATAGGAACATTTTTTTAAGTCCCCAGAAGCATCTCGGTCCAGGGTTTGAATTTGTCGATTTCATGACTGTCATGGAGTTGCACGTGTATACGGCGTTCACGCCAAGCAAATCCGTTCTCCTATGATTGCAGTATATCCAACGCTTCCAGGCCATAATTTAGTTGTCATCGAGTCACCCACTTGAAATAGAATTTTGGGGCTTCAAGCTTCAAATGCCATTGTTGCGGCTTGAATGGATACAAATCTGCTCCTGTTAAATTTACTTACTAGGTTCTAGCAATGGTAATGCATTGGGTTGTCCAATAGCTAAAAAGACACAATACCGCTACGGTCTTACTGTACGGAATGATACATCAACGTCATGCTCAACGGCGTTTCCCTTTCCCTCCTAACACACCTTTGGCTATTTTTTCAAAAACTCCTTCTAAATTGTCCGCTGTCTCCCAACCGTCTCCACCTGGAGTCGGTGCCCGCCTCCCATGAATACTGTAACAATAGAATTTCCCACCAAGCACAAGGATGCCCACGAATTCATCATGGGGATCCTTCGCAGCCAAAACCTCGATGTATTCATGCAACTGGGTGCCCGCCGATTGATATGTCCCTCCCTCCTTCTTTACCTCGATACACACCAATGGAACATCTCGGTTATCACCCACATGAACGATAATGAAGTCCGGCTCGAAGTAGGAGTCATGGATAACTGGAGCGCCCATGGAGTCTAAAGATAATCCTTCATCTTCAAACGGCTGATTATCGTCTCCATCATCGGGAAGACTGCGCCTGATTTTTGGCTGCGGCTTGACCATGAAGCAATCTGCCGCGAAAACGTGATTGGCGAGTTTATCGAGTGGCCCGTACCATGATGCTTCATAACGAGGGGGATTGAGATGCAACTCGTGCAAACGCTGCTTCCAAGCAGGAATTTTGGGCATGGTAGCTAAGAATATTGTGTGTTCACGGTCAGAACTCAGAACGAAGGATACATCAACTCACTGGGGGAGAAAGTTATGATATGTTGGATGGCCGTTCAATGAGTAGGAAGAACACGTCTTTTAAGATACTCAGCTAGGAGCTTCCATCAGGCAGTTGTGGTCACGCAATCAGCAGCTATGGTTACAAGAAGCATTAGTGATGGTATGTGGGACGCAAAAACACTAAAAAACTGGAAAAATGTACCACAAATGTTGGCCGCCCACTGATCGGCAAACAGGCAGGTAACTAACTTTGAGTTCCGAATGGGGCCTCGGCTTGAGGAACAATGCTAAACAATTTTCAAAACATACGATAATTATTCACCTACTAATACGACAATCGGATTAGAGCCTGATTGTGCTCGAAAGACAATGTCCAGGCTGATAGAAGTTGGTCACTTCCAGCTGATGTGGCAGAACAGGTAGTGCGACAATCGGATCAGAGAACTTAAAGGGCCCACCCTGGAATCGAAGAAATCCTGAAGATTCAAGAACAATGCCCTCGGCGGTAGAAATTTTGAAGAACCCCCCATTGCTCCCAATCATGTTCGTCCGATAGATCAATGATCAATGATCTGATGATAATAAGTTACACGGTGGCAAGCACGTGACCCTTTATGGTTTGGTTTAATAGGCGCGTTGTGAGTCGCCACCTAACGTCAGTCTAAACCAAAGTCTCCCAACTTGTCTCATATTTCTTTTCTGACAAACCGTACGTTCATGCGGTACTTTATCGCCTATGCATGGCTTACGATATTTTCCTCTTCAGGATGGTGCTCAAAATAGCCGGCTGGGTGTTCAGCTTCGAGCAAGCGCGTGCATGGTTAAAGAAGCAAGACCACCCATACCAGCATTCGCCAGACGAGTTCCTTGCTACCGAGCTCAATTTCTGGTTCAGAGAGAGGAAAATAGATTATCTGTGGGCCGTCGGCACCGACTATCCTCGAGGGAGCATGCAGCCAGTCATCGTATTGGCCCGAAGGCGCAGAGAAGATCCCAAGTCGACACTGTCCCGTTTCTATCGCGTCAGGGAGTTGGATGCGGACCGTGAAGTGAAGAAGCAGGTGTTAGAAGAGAGTGGACTGAATGATGAAGATTTGCCTTGGGTCACTGTTGTGGATCCATTTTTTGAATACTGATTGTTGTCGCTTATTCAAAATGGCGGGGTACCCGCTCGGGAAATGCCGGATACGAAGGGGGGTCAAACATGCATATGCCAGTCTGAGCATCAAACGAGCATAAAGTGTATATTATTGCATCAAATACAGATCGTCTTAGCTATTAGGTTGGAAGAAGTGAAGTGATAACAAATAGTAATCGAGCTGATTGAGGTCCAAACGCACACCCTGAACATCCCAGCAAGTTGAGCGGTTTCCCAGTCTCTTGCTTTCAATTGCCCATCTCGTGATACAGCCTATCCCCGCATGGCACTGTGATGCCCTCTCATCATCTTCAACACTCTTCAAGTCCCGCAGACGAAGCACCTTGTCGTCAGAGCCCGCAACCATCCGTCGTTTATCGGGAAACACTGTGACTGCCTTTACGATTTCTTCACGGCCTTTAAACTTTCGCAGGGGTGTGATGATTAGAATGAGCTGCCAAATTTTACTGGAGGTTGATAGCATTGGACGCGGTCGAGGTGGACTTTGGAGGGATTGTGGGTGTCTTTCAGATTCTTTCTGCAGAGGTGCGTGTGCTGGGTGACTTCCAAGTTCCTGTACGCTAGATAATTCAAATTTTATCATACCAGAGTGTGAAAATGTCTCCACAGCTGCTGCAGAATGTGTCCCATCGCATCAAATTGATAGTTGGTGTTCTTCGGCGCTCGAATTTGACTATCTATCCTGCATGTTACCTTTGTGTCGAGCAGCTACTCCAGCATACCACCATGTCAGTCCTTAGAACGCATGCATATAGCTTACTGCAATGTTACCCCTTCATCGAGCCTCCTCTCAAGGCCTCCTTAATACTTATGCACCAGATGCAGCCGAAGTTCTCCACTCTGGCGTCTCAAACTCGTCACCAATTCTAACGGTTGCAGAGGAGCACTATTTCCAGCGCTCTGCTTATGACTGATATTTACTTTGAGCTTCTCCTACCGGTCTCCTGGCCCACTGGTTTAAGTTCTTCCCTTCGCCAACCCCCTCTCAAGTCCATCGTCATCAGAATACTGCACCACACAAATACCGGTGCAATATGGTCGCTAGCCTCGGCGAACACCTCACCGCAGATGCTACGCGAGCCCTGCGTTCAAAGGATTGCCATCGTGGATGGTTGTGAGCGCCACCTACGACGGAAAAATAGTCCCCAGAGACCAAGTGAGGTTCACACCAGTTCTTTTGCCAAAAAATTATCATGTGCCAGGCGCTCCATGATTGATTTTGATCGAGTCATACTTAATCTCGAATGTCTTGTGCTATCTCCAGATTTAGTGCATCTCGAAACGACGATGGTCTGATTGTAGCGCAACGAGGCCCACCTCAAAGCTATTTAGCAGTGCACCCGCATACACATATCTGTCTACGGCTCTGTTTTGCACATTTCTTGCAAGCTCTAGAAGTATCTCGGTCGAGGGTAATTTGTCGATATCATGGCTATCTTGGAATTGCGCATGTATATGGCGTTCGTGAGCAACTTCATTTTTATATAAGGAGTGTCAACATTAACAGCACCTGCACATTTGGGGGCGAGTTATACGGTGCCGAACAGGATACAGTACCCATCGGGTAGTGTGCCAAAACGTGGGACAACGGTTGAGCGGAAACGGTTACTGGTGTAGGCAATGAATCCATGTTGGGAGCGATTGTAAGGTACCCCTGGTTTCGCGGAGTCAGATTCAGGTGGATGAACCTTGACTCCGATGCTCAGAAGGCCTAGGAAGATAGTCGCCGTCCTGAGGAAGATTGTTATTTCAAGATATACTGTAGTCGTGTTGCACTTAAGGGAATGGGTGGGTGGGGACTCCGCCCATCAACATCTCAATCACGATATCATGATTTTAATATGACTTGATGAAACTTTCCATCTAAAGCATGGTGGCACAGCCACAGGCGTTGTTTGGTAACAGCCTTAGGAACAAATATGGCGCGTCTTCAAAGCCTCAACGTTGCAACATCGTCCTTGATATTGCGCAGGTGGCAGGCACGGCAATTGACAGCATAACTTACTTTGAATAGACGTCGATCATCATGGCGGACGCAACGGCGTCCTTCAAAGACGTCCCAGAGCTGTTCGAGGTTGGCATAATTCTCATAGCTGCGTACCAATGTCAGGCTTACTATGTTTCAGGTTGAACTTGGAGAAGCTTTAACAGCAAGGACCGAAAGCCTTTGTCAGTCAAGCATGCTCTTGTTCTACTTATTGAAACATTGACAATGTATTATAGCAACATTCCGTGAACTTGGCCCCCCAGACCTCTGCCATATTGTGAAGAGTACAGGACGTACTGGACAACGCGATGTGAGTTCCAACATCTAGGATCTGCGGCGCATATGTTGATTATTAGTTAGATTGGCTCATATCATTTTGTGTCTGGAGTGGATGCGTCCTCTTCAGCATCCCTCGCCGCGTACATCAATTCTCTCACATACTCTATCGAGGACAACTCTGCTTGGTTTTCGAAGAGTACAGCATGGAAAGTTAGGAATGGCTGTTATTGGTTTGTTTTCATGACCTGTACACTCCTATATATGCTGAACACTTTGTTAAAGTTGTTTTAACGCGTTTTCTCGCGTCGATATCCGTGTAGATGTGAAGATCCCTGGAGGTGTCGTTGCCTATGTCGTAGACCTTCGTGGAGAGCGGTGCGTATTCTATCATAGCACGTATCGAGTCATTGATTGTGTTTGTGGACTCTAGACACGAAGCGACTCCAGAAATATGGCAAGAAACATACCTCTCTGCGCTGCTTCGGGCTATCCTCTACTCCGACGACCCGACTTACTGGCTGGAAGCTTACCGCAAGCTCGATCCTATCACTACAATCGAAGGCGAACTCCGATTTCTACAGGCAGCTGAGGCCTTGTTTATGAAGGGCGAGTGCTTCACCTTTGGCCTTGCTTGTTGCTTGTTCAAGAAACTGATCGCAATGTAGGATGGCAGGTCGGGTCAGATCCTGAGATACAGGTTGCTACTGTGGTTTCTAACCACTTGACTGCTGGTGTAATGAAGTACTTCAGCAGCAGTGGCCGCTGTCAGCCAGCAGCTAATTTATTCGAGAAACTAGCTGCACGAGAGCCGGAAATTGCCTCGCTCCTGGCAAGAAGTTACATTGGAATGAGTGCGCTTGTTTCTCCCTCTTTCCAAGAGACCGTCCCGCCTGACATATTTTATGACAAGATGAGGAAGTTAAGGCAGTCCAGATCATGTCTGCTGCCATGAAGCATACTCCACACTCTTATACCCTTCTCCACGTACAAAGTGATTTCCTTCGTTCTAAGGGCAGGTCGGACTGGGCATTGAAACTCGCGAAAGAGGCTGTTAACTGTGCACCGAGTGAATTTGTTACTTGGGAGAAGCTCACCGAGCTATACATCGATACAAAAGACTATGAATCGGTATGCAATTTTCTTGAGTGCGGTCAATTTCACTGACCGCCACCACAGGCGCTTTTAACGCTGAACTCATGTCCAATGTTCACTTTCAATGGACGTGATGCTCACCGTGCTCTTGTACCTGCAAAGGTCCACTTGCCATTCCAGCGCCAGATCGGCGACATCCTCCCTGAAAAAACGAAAAGTGAAGATGATGTGGTTCGTGAAATTATTATATTGTCATTCCCATCTCATGTCTCTTCAGGCTGATCCTGCCCTCCTTCGCCTTCCTGCACCGGGTCTTCGTGGAACGTGGGCGAGGGCCTATTCCTTGCTCACACGTCTTGTCTCTGATATAGGCTGGGACGAATTGCTGAAGACGCGGAGTGTAGTGTTTGTTATGGAAGAAGAGTATCGGATGCAAAAGGCCCAGGCAGACATCCAAAAAGTGGCGACCAGCCACAGTGCACAAGATGTGAATGAAAATGCCGCAGTGATCCACGAGGATGGCTCTGTGACCGCAGGGAATGCAACTCTCGCAGACGATGACGCGTCTACACGAGGGATGTCAAGCCCCCTCTCGGAATCGGAGAGCAAGCCTGAATTTGAGAATGGGCTGAATGT